CTAATTATGTGCTTCTGTGTACGCCAAACATTCTTTAAAAAAGATTCATATAGAAGCAACAGGGACCTTTCACTTCAAATTCAATGTCACTACTTTCACTAGTTTGCTTTGTTAACATAATATTAGCAGAAATAATTCAAAGATGTTCTCCTCTGTTTATACTCTACACTACGATCGTTGGAGCTTTCACATACTTAATTCACATACTGTAGCATGAAACATTTAGACTCTGCTTGTGACTCAGGGTGAAGCCTGCCGTCGAAAACGCAGTGTGATATCAGCCATCTATTATTTAACAGTCGCCCCTACCTCTAAATAGCTCTTTGCATGATCTGCTCGGCGCTCCAGTCAGCCTAAAGATAAACAACAAAACGCCTCTACAACAGAATTACATCATTTTACAAGAGAATTACAACAGGCCAAATGTTTAAACATACTGTTTTGATAAATGTGGTTTTGTGCAACGCTGACAATCTTTCTCTTCTCCGTGATTTCAACGTCTCCATTTACATCTAAAGAGAAAACGCTGGCACATTAATGTTTAGACCGAGTGAAAATAGACTGTAGTTATTCCACAAGAATCATTAAAGTCTCTTTTTAAAATATTCTTTATGTCATGTAATATTTAGTTCATCTTACATGCTGCACACATGAAAATGTATATTCTATGTCATTGGTATTATACAGTTTGCTTAAGATTCAGAAAAAGTTGAAAATAACGAGGCTACTTAATGTGTCTGACGCCTCGTTAAATAGTAAAAATGCTCCATTTAACTCATCATCATCATCACATTTGCATTAATGAGGCACCGTGTGTTTGTTTTATAAAGTAGATTTTAATTCCAAATTAATTATCTCACAAAGCATAAAACCCATTTTCGTCTCACGACAGTGAAATGAGTGTGTTGCTGTGTGTTGAATGTTTTCCACTGTTTATTGAAAACAATAGAATCTGACAGTGTGAATGCAGCTTTACAGTGAGAAGCAGGTAGTAACTATAGTTAAATAAAACAAACCTTAACCAATCCAACACAAACATTAATTTACCTTCAACCCACCAGTTCAAACAGGGAATGAGTTGACACCTCAGTACCTCCTTTCTAATCAAGACCAAACAAACATTCTATGTAGTCTTTCATGGAAAGTATGAACTGTATTAACCAGTTAAATTAACCTGGATTATTAGATTTGGTCTAATGCTAAATATGCCGATAAGAATAAAGTGTTAACGCTCTTTCGACCCTACAAAGCAAAGAAGGCTCCTATGTAAAAACCTCTGTAAATCCTGTTTGACCTCATATCCTGTTAGAAAAAAGCAATCACTGAAAGCTGAAATGCTTGAAATCGTGTTTTAGCAGTGATGCAAGTGAAGTATTAATAATGTCATTAAGAAGTTGAAGTGCAGTCGTGTGCAGCCACAAACGGAGAAAAAGGCAGAGAGATTTGAATTAAAATTCAAGAAGGAGGAGCTCTTTGGTCTCAGTTTGCAACTTCACATCAAACCTTTAAGTTCACAAGCACATTCATTTCACATCTTCCACTTATGTCATGATAAATATGTATCTATAAATCGTACAACCACTATGGAGTTTACAGGAAGTTGTAGCATGTTCTGTAATCTAATGGAAAACCTTTATTAAAGTATATATGCTAATGTTTTGTCCTGGGGATTACTCATTTTATTCTGATTTTGAGAACAATGTAACAGCTACCTGGACTATATTCAGTGCAACATGTCTTCAAATGTAGTCACTTTAGTTAGTAGGCTGTGAGGAGGTGGTAGTGCAGCACTCTGACAGCATATAAACAGTTGTTTCAGTCCTGTGAGTGATCAGGTTTAGGGAACAAAGCCAGTTTAAATGTGTCATACTGTGTTGTTCAAGTCACATGTCACAAGTCACAAGGTTTTTCATTTTAAAGCACGTCCTGTCTGACCAATGTAGAAGAATTTAAATCCTTCCCTCATGTTGACAGAATACAAACCCAGGAGGCATTGTGCGTCTCAAAGTGTGCAACTCTAGGCACTTCATTAGCATCTATTTTTTAAAATCAGTTCACAATGGATAATGTTTAGCTCTATCTCAACATTCAGCAGTGGACCTGAGTTTAAATGTTGAGTCAAAGTTAAAGGTTTGATGAAGAAAATAAGGGAATGTCTATAAAGACCTTTGTTGAGACATCATGAAGGTTCAGTGAGCACTTATGGTCATAGAGGAATATGCAGGCAGGGTATAATGCAGAGTTCCATTTCAAACCTCAGGGTGTGTTCAAATACACCACTAGGGCGAAGTGTCCTGCTTTCAGATGACAGACAGTGGTGTTAGTATTAAAGGAGCAGAGTTTGTATAGAACAGTCATAAATAGTTGGTGGTAGGAAACCATCAATGAACATAGGTAGTAAAGTTAGGGCTGTAGATTGGGTTTGTGTACGGATGAATTTCAGGATATATAATAACACTAGGAGCAGAAGTGGTTATGATGGTTTCTATGTTAATCCCTGAGAATGTCTGTGGCACAGTGCAGCACATCACTTAACGAGCTCTTATTTCCCACTCGGGCATCAGTACACTGATAACAATAACAAATTCATTCAAAATTATTCACTTCCTTGAACAACAAAAACTGAAAAAACAACAACATGAATATTAAATTCCAAACAATAAGGAGGCTGAACAATTCCTTCTTCCCAATAAAAAAACTTGTAAGCACTTGTATTGAGCTGGCAGTTCGAATGCAGACTCCTGAAGTGGCTGCAGCAGTATCTGCATCGACTCCAGTGCTTTGACCAGCTGTGAGTGACTGGAGTCCATTTGCTGCTCTCCGCTCATCTCCATCAGTCGATCTCTGGCATGCACTTAAACCATTTGGACACACGGCCCTGCCTCTTGGCTGCTCTTTCCTGTGAGCCCAGTAGCCCGTCCATGTAGTGGCCGTACTCACTGATGGCATCTTCAACACGAGTGATGTACAGCCAGCTGACTATCACACCAAAGAACTAGAGAGAGAGAGACAGAGAGATAAGCTAAGTGCTGGAAAGGATGGAATGTCACCCTTGGTGCTTGTCATTAGTTGATGTTTTCATCACTTGCATCATACCCCCATGTCTTAGTCTAAGTCGTTCCCAAAAAAGGAAGAGATGCAAAGAAACAATGCTACCAGACATAATTCCAGAAAAAAATATTCCCCCCCCCCGTCCGTTTGTTTTTTTGTTTGCTTGCAGGATTCCACAAAATTGGACATGAGCCAAGAAAGAGACAATAAGATTTTGGAGTGGATCCAGGATTTTTTCCCCCACTCTCTTTAACATTACGAGATAGGACGTTTTCACCCATTTCCCAGGGAATAACTCTGGCACAGTTGGTGCAGAACCAAAGAAAAGACATGCATACACAGAGCTGGAGAGATTCATATTAACATCATCACCCAGATGTGGCTGATTTAAAGGTGGTTTCATAACAGGACTGTTGGCCAGAGGTATGCAATTCTACTGCATTTAGCAGCATGTTTGTGCTGCAATGCTAACAGACAATACAATCTTCCTATGACTATTTTATTATCCATGACCAAGATCCATTTTTTGTGTGAGTAGACATACAATAGGTCAATGAAGCCTTTCATGCTTATGTAAGTCCTGTATGTATGTAGATACCCTCTTACATCCATTGATAGCTGCCAGTGAGTGTGTGTCTGCCTTTTAATGTATTATGTGAATAAAAATGAAAAGGTTAAGACAGAAGTGACAACGTGATGGATAATAGCTTTCGTGTCCCTCACACCCACATCCTCTAATGGATCTTAAGTAAGTCTGAATGTGTCACAATATCTTCTGGAAAATGTTTTTAATGCTAGAAAAACTCTGAAGTCAAAATCACATGTAATTCACACTGATATGTAAGATATAGATATATTTTAGGTTCATGTATCAAGAATTCCTTTTTATTTGAAACCTCAATTAAAAAGCATGCAAAACATTTTGTGAAAAATGCACTGCTTATTTTCTCACTGCGAACAGCGTAGAGCTGCCAGACGAACCCGAGGTAGAGCAATTTACATTTTCTCCTGCGTCAGAGTTATTTTCATCAGACAGGCTGTTGAATATGGATAAAGGTTTTTCGTGCTTCTGATATTCACAAACATTCTGGAACTGTGAGTCACTGTGAGACTTTTAGCAAATATTTCGGTGAAAGTCAAAGGTAGAAATGACACAACACGTCTACTTTGATACCCATCAAGGTTCCCTTCTTAAATGTTTGCTATAATTATCCATCCAGAAGAAATCATCAGGGACACAACAGAGGAGAGTAGCCCTTAAACCAGTACAATAAATAATGAGGTGGACTTAATCCTTTCCCTTCATATCACATATAGAGCCCTTTCTCCTCAGGGAGACCAGTAAACCTGCCTATTTATGTAAGTAATGATCTTGTATGTAACAATGCACTCAGGGACAACAACTCTTGCTCCTCAGGCATACCCATGAGCCAATGCACTACTGCTTTTTTGCGTGCATGCATGACACATGCGTGGGACCCCAGATGAAATATGTAAGCAATAGCCCTGTAGTCTAAAATGGTTCGTCGGTGCATGTGCGTGTGCGTGCATGCGTGTGAGTACCTGCGGCAGTAGGATCCCTAACAGAAGTCCAGCCATGATCTTATAGTTGTCTAACAGCCAGATGAAGAAAGCATCAGTGCAGCCTCTGATGTGAATGACTTCGATCAAGTCCAAACGCTACGAGAAACACAACACTTCTTATCAGGTAGGTACGTTTTCACAGCTTTACAACAGTTACACACTTGAGAAAACACAACAATCATTTATTTGACCTGTGTGGTGAGTTATTAAACCCCGACAGCTGCACAAATATGATGGATAATGTTATTTGAGTCACCGCAGGGAAAACATCATGCTGCCAGAGAAAACAACACACCACCAGATCTGGCTTTTAAAGCAAGCAACAATTTAAACAGACTTTAAAAGAGAGGGGCAGCTCTAAGCGTATGGTGACATGTGTGACACTTTTTAACTGAAAATGTATGAATGTCCCCACAATTATATGTGGACTTATTTAACCTGTATGGAAATTAACATCTGCCTCATCTTAATTCAGTGATGTGAATCCGTCTTACCTCTTTTTTGAGCACATCGCAGCCACACATAGTGTTGGCCACTTCATTAGGCTGCAGGACAAAGAGGCAGAGAGACAAAGACAAGAGTTAGAAAGGAGGAAAATATACTGGGTTGTTTTCAAAAACATGACTAAAAACATCATGGACTAAACAACTGAACTTTTAAGCTGAATGAGTTTGACTCGTCACTGGAGCTCATGTTGTTTGGTCAATGATAATGAACAATGCACTTACACATGGACGCCAAACATGAACTGAATATGATTTAAATTACTATTTAAAGGACACTTTTATCAGAATGACTGTGTAACTGAATATATTAAAAACATCACTTGTATCTATTTTCCATTTGAACCAATTGAGCACAGTCGAAAGAGTGCGAGTGCATTTTACTGTTTATATAAGAATTGTGTAATTCCAATATTTCCTATGTTACTATGTTTCTGATTTACTAATAATAGGAGCAGAATAAGTATTTATAAATAAATCACAGTTGTCAATCAGGTGCGAAAAGATATGATCTGTTTGAGCTTCTGTCCCGACCATGTGTCATCTCTGGCACACAGAGTTGTGTCATTTGCCAGACTTTCCCTCCATCACCACGTGTCAAGACCAAATTTAACTTCTCAATATGAGGTATTTTCTGGATACATTTATGTAGAAATGATAAACCCTGGTGGCAGTGGATCTACCCATTGTAATAGTATTGACAGATAAATTAAACTAAATGTGAATAAAAAAGTGCATAAATAGAAACCCCTCTGAGAATTAGTTTTTGCGTTTCCAATATCTTGACTGTGATAAAAGCGGGCCTGACTACAGTAAAGATATTATTGGCTGCCATTAGGTTGCTTAACATTGTTTGAGCCCAAGCAGCAAGAACTGCAACATCATTAGTCACAATACGTTACTGAAATCATGGAATTAAAAACAAATTACAACCATGCAAAATTGTGAGTCAGGTGAGAAAAACATCTTAATGCATAGCTCTGGTAACTGAATTAAATGCTGAGGACACAGGATAGAGGATCGGTGAGTTGTTT